TCTCTCTCCCTTCTCTCTCTCTCTCTCTCTCTCTCTCTCTCTCTCGCTCGCTCGCTCTCTTACTCTCTTTCTGTCGGGCGTTGAGATGACACGACGCTACGGCCGGGAATATTCGAAAAGGCACTAACCCTCAATGATCCGAAAAAATCAAGTGTGTATACAATCAGTGCGGCCGCCGAGGTCGAAATTCACCGACAGGCTCCCGGGTTTCTCGCTAGCTAACCCTTTATCCCACCCCGGTTTTTTTACTTTCTTTCTTACGTCTAATGTAGCCGCTCCCAGCTGGGGCAGCGAATCCGCCGAAGTCGAGGCGAACACCACGGACACCACGGACGTCTAAAACGTTGATGCGTCGAGGAACGACACATTTCTCAACCCCACCGGTCGCCGTTACAACCCTCTCGTTTTGGCACTTCGAGTACCGTCCGTCGCAGCGAACCTGGCACTCTCGTCCGAGTGGTCGGATTCGAGAGCGCACGCCTGACTGGCCGCCGCGCTCACGCCTACCAATCGGGTCGCGCGACGGGCCGTCCCCGGACACGCGATTGGATTCTCGGAGCGACTGACTCCGCCCCCACGACCTCACGAGTGCCAGGTTCTCGGCAACGGACGGTATCTTATCTGTCGCGTGATATAAAATGTCGGAGTTTTCATTGTTCGAGACTTAATCGGTTGAGTGGGTGTTGAAAAGCTTCGAGCAGCTTTTTGGATTGATTCGTTTCACTGATTAACTGAAGCTTGTGCTCGTGAAGCAAGTTGATTTGTTTTTGGTTTAACGATCAATGGACTGTTCTTGGGTTGCTGCTTTTGGCTTTGGTCTTGCTTCTAGGTAATTTCGTTGAATACTGTGGAATAGTGCAGAGAAGTTACTGGAACTGTGGCTTCATTTAAATAACAAGTGAGATACATTGCTTGATAAAGGAATTTGAATATGTCGTGAGGCTCGTATACGATGATTGCTGACGAACTGAGCGGAACTATGGATTTTATATTTATCTATTATTAGACGTTGACGGTTTCAAAGGTAAATTATTATTGTGACATCAGGAGAAATGTCTGGGGACAAAAAGTGGTTTTTAAAAGTGACTTCCATGAATCTCTAATTAATGACGCTCGGAATAAAAATTCGTTTTATGTGCAAGAAGTATCAGCTGTCGGAAATTACTGTGGAAATTCTTGCGAAACTATTGTTAATCGTTAAAGGGATATTCCAACGAAATACTCCACGCGGAATTGAAGAAATGGGTTTTCTGAAAAATTCGGCACTCCATATTACGCGACGAAATAAATGTATGATACACGTATAAATAAAGTAGAATGTCGATTATTCGAACACTGGGTAATTAACATGATTACTGTCGGGCCATCTAAGCGTGGGCATACCGAAGAATCATGGCTTTTTTAAGAGCAATAAGAAACAGTTTTCGTTCAAGGACTGCGCGACGTTATTCGACTGGTTTTCAAATGGTCTCCGCGTTAATTACAGCACTTGTTACCAGAAACTATGCAGAATGATCAATTTTTTGCGTCGAATCGTTATGGACTAAATATGGGGACAATTCGTAGGATTATAAACGTCATAATTAAGTGTTCGACAGGCCAACTATCGCGATAAAGGAAATGAAGATGCAAAACAAAGATTCCAGCACATATTCGCTCTGAAAGCAAGCGCTTCGTATTTCCCACATTTTCACCAATAAAAAAATAATCCTTTTATTTTCTAATCTTTTACAATTTCATCGACCACGTTTTGGCAAGCACTGCGATTTCCAATCGAAACACTTCGACATAAAGAAGATATCCACGGAATATCTTTACGTTAATATTAAATAATTAGAAATGTCACAAGGAATTAGGTGAATTAGGCCGGCAAACGACAGTTGCCCTTAAAAAAGCTGTCATCCTCCAATTAATTTACGCTCACCGATCTCAATTAAACCTATTCTCGTTCGAACAAGTCGTGCAAGTCGTCGTCGTTTCCAAAAATATTCTTCTCTCTTCGATCCCAGTGTCTTCCCTCTGTTTACCAAGAAAAATTTGATTGTCAGAACCGCTTGATCCTCCCACTGTTCCGAATAATCGACGAATAATTCGAGGTCGTAGGCCTAACGTACGTTAAATGCAATTAACGTTGAAACAATGATTAACACTTTACCTACCGGCAGTCTTTCGGTACTCCTAGAAACCAATGCTAACCAACAGCTGAACCAATCTCTCGATAACAATGACAATCAATCGTCAATCGAATCGTCCCGAGTAACGTAGTCCAACGATGTCTTCCAAAATCAGAAATATTAACCCTTCGCGGACGAAGATTCTCGAAAAAAAATACAAAACCCACTGTAGATTTTGTGAAATTTCACGTCGAATGCATAAATAAAATATAGAGCAAGAGAACTATGTACTGATCCCTTACTGTTTGAGTCGTTAAATCGTTTATTTGCAACTTAGCGTTACAAACACGATAATTTCATCGAAACGAAGCGTCGACATTCGTCCTGAAAGGGTTAATCTCGTTCGCCATGTAACGCGATCGTGAAACCTGCTGACGAGCAAATAAAGTGTTAATCGAGAATCGAAAGCATCAGGTTCCCACGTTTCACAGAAATCAGCAAAACATTATGGCACTTTGCTCGATCGTCGGCGACTCGATTCTAATGATCCCCCTGTTCCAACAGTTCCCACAAATCCCCAACGCCGGATTCACGGGACTAAACTTCTACAACCTCGGATTCCTAGTTTCGACTCATAGAAATCATAAATATTCCATCGATTAGCGTTCCACTCCGATCAACGCGGGACATTAATTCATCCCGCGTCTCTAATTCAACGTCTACGCGTAACACACCCATTTTCCCGGAAACAATGCAACGGACGCCCGCGAATCCAGCGTTAACGCGCCGACGCAAGGTTCCTCTCAACGGTTAGACGTCCAAGGTTCAGCGGAGTCCTTGATCATCCGCTCGTCGTATCCGATTCACAGTAAAGCCCGACGCAGACGAACGATGTTTCACCGTTGCCACCTACTACCGCTGTCCTCTCTATCGTTTCCTTCTCGCATTCGTTCGCGCAGCTTCATCAGCGGGATCATCAAATACATACGAATGGTTCGCAGGAAAATGTCGCGGTTGAAGAGTATCCTTAGAAAATACGTTAAGTGTCGGCATGAAATTTTTCATGAGATAGAAAGTTATCTAATACGTTGAACATTCTACCATAATGTCATCTTCCAATGTTATCAATACCATAGATGGCTATTATTGATCGCTAAAAGGAATATTGCACTTGTATTGTACATTACAGGATCATAATGGGAAATACTTTTGGCATTCAGTGTTTTCTAAGAATATTCGATTGGTTTGGAAGAATAGAGATGTAACATTAAGATATTTTATTTCGACGACTACGATTTTGTCACTTGTGATAGTGATCAAATGAAACAGAAGTAAACGCTTCTACAAGTCGCCAGACACAAGCACTTCGTTTCTCTGTTAACCCCTTGCCCTATTTCTTTCTGACCTGCGATTCATCCGACTACGTTATTACTAATAATTTATTGAAAATACGAGAAAATTCCAGTCTTACTCTATGCCAATGCTCTAAGGTATAATCGTTGATAACAGAGGAACAATATTCGCATTCAAACGAATCGACTAATATTTCTTTTCGTTAAATTCTATTTGAAATCCCCGCTACGAGTCTGACACGATATTGTACAGCAAGGGGTTAATCCGAAGCATTTCCCAGCGAACCACTCGTGCGCATTTGAAGCAACAAGATGTCAATCTGCATCGGGCCTAAATTTCGAACACGTTCCGATGCGATCCACCCTCCTTACGCAACGTATCAAGCGCTCCGCGCGTATCCTACTCAAAGACTTATAAAAAGGAAAGAAATATAAAAGGAAAACAAAAAAATCGCAAGAATCAACGTCGGTAGTGTACGATTCGATGGCACGCGTGAACTCGAACCACAGGTTCGATCCTCCGAAGACGATGGTGGGGTCGTTCGAAGTTGCGATCGTTTCTTTTCGACGTAAAAAATGGTACTTTCGCGACGCTGGTGCCTCGACGCGCGCGGACGGTCGGACGCTCGCCTCGGGAATTGCGTTTCTAACGATGGGAGAAACGCGTCCGAGGCGGAATACGTTCCGCGCGGCACACGAAAACGATCGAAGCTAGCGTCAGTCGTGTGAACCGGTGTTTTGGCAGTTAGCTTTAAGCCTAATCCAGATCGACGATCCGCGTACGTTGATTGTGGACAATTCGTAGGTACGAAATTTGCGATTAGTTCGTGGACGAACGTTAGTCTACAGTTTACTTTCCGTTGACATGGAAAACCATTGGCAGTCAATGTGCTGTGTGGAAATGACAAGTTGATTGGCAAGGCACTATCTCTGATACTGTCATGTAGCTCTTCGTTGATTTTTAGATGTATGAATATTTAATACGAAAGATGGCGGAGCTATTGGATTTTAAACAGTGGATGATTTTAAACTCGATGAGATAGATCCATGTTCCTCTGCCTAGCTAGTTTGTCTCCGAACTATACATTGCTGGTAGTCAATCTGGAGATAGAGTCGGTTTGAGGATAAACTGTTGGCAGGCGATGTACTGTAGGTTGCTAGTTTATGTGCTTTGTTTATAGTTTCATCATCGTATTAACGAACAGCACATTAATACCAAAACTGAAGATACCTTCTGCTAACCAATTCCACGTTTAGGTGTCTCTTTTCATGGACACCCGGTAGACAGGATCTACAACAGTGTTATTCACCCTTTGCACTCGAGAGGCGACAGTCGTCAGATGATTGGAAAAACATAAACTTTTGTATACACCATTTAACTTTGTATACTGCATCAATACGTTATATTGAAAGAAAATAGCTTTGTTCCCTAATTTATGTGTGATCTGATAAATTAACTTTAAAGAATCTCGTCTACATCGAATTAGAAAGTATTGAATAGTGAAGAACTTTCGAGTGCAAAGGGTTAAACCGTCGAACACGAGAAGAATGATGAAAGTCAATAAAAAACAAACTAAATCTAACGCGTCCAACGACGCACAATTATTTTATTAAAGTCCTACTGTTAGAAACAATTGCAGGGCTGCCAGTAGCTGAGGTCAGACTCTCCTCTCGTAGAAAACAGAGATTCACCGGAATGAAGATCGAGAAACACCGGTCTACAGACAGTGTCCGTCAATCTGGACTAGGCTTTTGTGCGGACGCCGATCACGGTTAGTGTATCGGCGTCGTCGCGAACGAGAGATCGTTCGCAAAGGGACGAAGAACGGCGCGAAGACGCGAGGCACAATGGTCGGAGCCGAATGCGCTCCGCCATGATGGTTTCCCCTTGGACCGCTCGATACTGCCGATGAAATATCGTCGGCCCGATACTTTCAATACGGTGAAGAAGACACTTTTAATTAATCAAGCAGTACGAGAACCGCGTTCCGATCGACAGATCCTAACTGACGGATCCGCGTGACTTCGGGAACGCTCCGAGCGTGATTAGAGGCGGGTAATATTATACTTATTGCTCGAGATTGTAACTTGATCTTGCCCGAAAAGTCCGTCCGCGTCTATCGTACGTGTTCCGAAATATTCGTAACTGGACGTTCACTGGGTCGCGTAATTCAACAATATACATGCACGGCAATGTGAAACAGCCACTGAACGTTCATAATCGCGGCCTGTCCTCCGGTTGTTCCCCCGCGATCCGAAGCCGAGTCGAAGTAAGAACAGGGTAGAGGCGGATCGGATCGAAATATCAATTCAGTCCAAATTTCTTCCTTCGAAACGATCGTTTCGATTGTCCATATCAATTATTCTCATTACTCTTCGAAATGAACACCGTGATTCGCAAAATTCGAATACGCTCGTCGCTAATATTCAGAGAACGTCCTTACATCGACTGTCGTCAAAAATTGTTCCTTAGATTGCACATCTCGCGAAAAATTGGAATGAATTATATTTCTCAAGTTTTGTCTCCGTCCGCAGAAGAAAGGTTCGAAGAGTCTTTACCGTGCTTAATTATTGAATTTTTCCTGGCAAACTGATTCGATCCGCCTCGGTGTACCCTACTTGTAACATTAAACCTTCACTGCGAGGATTGTTCACAGAATTATCCTAATTATATCTCTAGCTCTTTAATTTACCGATCCCCCGCAGAGGCACGCCGCTGTCGCGTGCGTCGTCGTCCGTCCAAGATGGCGGACAGCGTTCCCGCCATTCGAGGGAGGACCTCTCTACCGTATGTTCCTTCTCCTCCCTCCTTCCTGTTACTTTCGAAACGCTAGTACCCCGCCGCCCGGAAGCAACGCCGACGAGCTTCAACAATTTAATTTTCCCTAGAAACACAGTCTTGCATCCCTAAATAGAAATTTCTCGAGTCCCTCGCGCACGAACAACGAAATGTACAACCGATGAGAACCCGTTCCGCGCTGGGCCGGCCGAGGCTCGGCGTCTCCTTGGGCGTGTCCGTCTCCAGCTTTCCTTCGGCAGGCCGTTTCACTCGGAACCGGGTGGCCGCTGGCAGCCCGTCAAACGATGGACGCTGTCCTGGCCAGAACAACGGCGCCGCCCGATACCCGGGAAACGCTCCAACGATTTCTCTTTTCTCAGTTTTCCTCGTTCGCTCTCTAGATTCCGGAGAATAGAACCGAACGGCGACACCGTGACACGGAGATCAACCTCCGGCTGAATCTCTTCGGTGTCATGGATAATCTGTGCTGGATCTAGGCGGGATCCGAAAACGATTCTCCGCGATTGTTGGTGGCCAACGAACGGAGAAGAGGAAGGCTTAGATGGCAGTGGGGTTTCTCTCTTCATCGAATCTTGGTTTGCTAAGCATGCTACGTTAATAGTCTTCTCGATCCATGAGTAATGAAACAGATTATTGTTATTAGTATTATTCTGTTCCCGAATGCGACAGGGTGCCCTTGTTTTATTCTTGTGGAGGATGCTTCGGGTAGCATGATAAATAGGTACGAAGCGGAGTCTGTCGTTGGTAATCGGCGGATCGTTTCCTCGTGTCGAGTGGAATCGGGCTGTTTCTCGCTGACGCGGGATTTTGTTGATGCGGTTTCTGTTTTGTCTGGGTCGCGGGCCGTCGAATTTCTGATTCGGTCCTCCGTGCTGGCTACGGTGTGCGGCTTAGGCGATCACGTGCACGGCGATGACCGCCAAGATGGCGGTCGAGAAGAGGACGCTCGATGAACCGGCCGTCGGTGCGTTGTCGCGGTTCAACTTCGTCATTGGATCTGGAACAGAGAGTAATTTTGATCGGTTAATTGGACGGTTTTTGTTGGCCGGTTCGATGAATTAACTGATTGCAGAGTTGTTTTCATGGGAACTGTGCGTGCCGGCTGAAGGCTTTTCAAGAGTGGATCGGTGCGCAGCTGCGAAAGTGGATGACGACTACGGGATTCTTACTTTATTCGTGTTGGAGAGGAAATATAGTTCTCGAAATTCTGATCTTTTAACGTGGAATATTATACTTTTTCAGATTTTTCTCATTATTTCGCGGATCTTTAAACACTTTAGCAGCTACGAAAGTTACTAATTAAACACTGCTGTTACTGAGTATTAACCCTTTGCACTTGGAAGCTTTTCACTAGAAACATTCGACACTCCGATGAAACAGACGACACTATTTAAAACGAACTAATGAGGAAGCATACGTAAATTAAGAAACAAAGCTATCTTATAGAATTATTTCACATATGATGCATTATACAAAATTTAACCTTCTGCACTCGAGAGGTGACTCAGTCACCATTCGCTTTGACATACCAAAATTATAGTCTTACAAACAATATTAAGCTCATACGTGGAATATTGAAATAATTACTTTGTTTCTCAGTTCATGTATGTTCTCTCATTAAGTACGTTTCAAAGAACGTCGTCTATACCTCATTGACAAATATTGAATATTTCTAATGAAAGATTTCCGAGTGCAAAGGGTTAATATATATAACACTTTGTAATTTTGTTATACCAAATCACATGGTGACTGAGAATCACCTCTTGAGTGCAAAAAGTTAATGATCTCCAAAACTATTTTTAAATTCATCGCTTTGGCTAATGTGAAGTTCATTATCTTCGAACCCTTAATTAATTACTCCCCAGTAGTACACAGGAATATTGTTTAAATTCAAAAACGTCAAGAGCTTTCTCAAGGATGAGCAACGAAGATAAGAAGAATAATTTCAAGTCAATACCTGGTGTAGTGGGGCCCATGCCAGAGCCAGACGCCTCTTCGTCGTCGTGATCATCGCGGTCATCTTCGTCGTCGTTGTCGATGTCGTCGCTCTTTCCTTTCTTCCTCCAAATTGGCCTGTCACCGCTTCCAGAGCCATCTATACCTTCGTCAGCCAGCAGTGCTCCACTGTCTGGAGCCGAGGCCAATTGAGACTGCAAAATCTACCAGAAAGGAAAACAAACTTTTACAAGCTGTACTTTAGATAACCTTCGCGCACCGTACTTCACGATGTTACATCGGAAAACATCAAAAAAATTCTATCAATCATCCGCAGAGCTTAAACAAACCAACTTCCACGTTTAACTCCACGTGATAACGTTCTACGAAGAAATAAAACATCGATCAATCAAGGTGTCCTGCAACTAACCATTAAACTTCGCCTCTAGCATAATCCTCTGTTGATGGCACTTGCATTTAGTTCAAAGTCATCAGAACAAATTCTCGAACTTCCATCATAAACGAGACTATACGTTTTCCATTTATTCCCTTACAGGCAATCCTGTTTTTTATTTTATCACCAATTACAATACATCACGTATGTACTGTATCCTCAAAGATCGATTAACCCTCGAACCACTCAATAACTCAACAACCGCTAAAGCCAACGCGAGTCGAACCAATTTGTACATAACGGTTCGTGTTATTCGATCGAAAACGCGCGAAAATCAGCGCGAGCGAGGACCGTTCGACCGGCCTCGAATTTTCTTAATTAGAACACCGATATTTCTCTATTAATCCGTACACGCTGGAAGCTACACGGCAATTTCAATTCTCCAGCGTAGCGTAACAACGCCGCGCGGCTACAATATTCGCGACGGTATTGCGATCATCGGGCCGGTTAATTTGTTTAATTGCGTCCGCCGTGGTACGCGCCGCGTGCATTTACATTTAGTAACTGTCTAATGTGCGAAACACACCGAGGCAGCTAGTCATTCCACTCTCTATTTGGAAATCCGGCGTTCGCCGATGTCTTAAACGACTTACAAGCCCGTTTCAAGGCGGCTTACTTCAAAGTATATTGGCAGCTGAGTTCCCTCGTGACTTCCTCTTTGGGTTGCGCGATTATAAGTTAAAATAGTTAAAAAAATTGATAATTTTAATCCCTTGCACTCGGAAGTTTCTCGCTGGAAACGTTTAACATTCTTTAACGCGTTGAATGCCGCACGATTTCATAGTACAGAATACTTGAAATGGAAAAAATATGATATTGAATTATTTGCTTGAATTGCATTGTTATTATTGCAAGTTCATCTAGCTGAATGTCACCATATTAGTCAGCATTATTTATAATACAGAAATGTTTTCAAATAATCATGGTTTAATTGAGTGAACTGTAGTAATTCGATTTGGGGGTCATCGGTGGCCCCCATGGCATTCAAATCTAACTCGAAGGCAAATCACGAGTACATTGAACAAAGCTACTTCATTCCAATATTTCACGTATCAAGGTATCGTACAAAGTTCAACATTAAATATCAAATTTTATAGTTTTCACGTTAAATCGAATGGCGACCGAGAGACGCCTTCCGAGTGCAAAGGGTTAAAGAAGCTAATTCACTATATCTAAACTGTATGGTATTATTATTAGGTATTAGTAACATTTGAACAGTAAACTATCAAATCGGTCGTCCAAAGAAATGTTGAAAAATCAGTTGGTTATTTTCAAATCTAGCATAACGCATTTCCCAGTGAGTCTTTTACTTTCACAGCGACTTGCATCCGGCTTGCCGCGGACCGGACGAGCGTTTATTTAGCCGGTGCGTGCCACGGGGCGGGGAAAAAAGGGAGAGGGAAATAAGGAAAGAAGAGTAGAACAGCGGCGGAACGTCCGCGAGGGATGGTTCGGCCATAAATCATTCATGAGCTCGCGTATTGTCGTGTAAGTAAGTATATACATCGCGGCGCGTCACCTTCTTCTCGCATTGCACGACTTCAAATTGGATTACGCAGTTGCGATACGTCTGGCGGCGTTGACGGGCGTGCAGGTGTTCTACACGCAACAAGCAGAAGTCGGCTGTCTGACTTCCAGGCATGCGAATTAACGTGCGCCTTAACCGCCGGCTGTCGCAACGAAGTCAGAGGCTCCGGCAGGATCTCGAGCGATGAATTTTCACTTCGCCTATTAACCCTTTGCACTCGACAAAACTTTCGCTATAAATATTCATTCCTTTATAAACGACATTTCGGTCGATTACTACAAAGAAAAACTTTATAGAACTTAGAACGAAAGTATGTCATTTCCGTGATCCATGTGCTTCATCATACGGATCTCGAGCGATGAATTTTCATTTCTTGCCCTTTGCACTCGACAAAACTTTCGCTATAAATATTCATTCCTTTATGAAGTATAAATGACATTTCAGTTACTACAAAGAAAAACTTTACAGAACTTAGAACGAAAGTATCTCGTTTCAATGATCCGTATGGTTCATCATATGTTTCTATGAAATTTGATAGTGAATTTCAGATGTTACAATATTCCTGGATTTAAGGGTATCTATACCTTCTCGGTAATTGTAAAAATCAAGAATAGATTATTCTGACGCATCTGTTAGGTCTAGTGTTAATCTCGTTCAATCTCAATTCACAATTTCTATCCGTTCTTTTTCCCTAGACAGATTACTGATTTTCGTTTTACGTGTTACTAATTATTCACAAACCTATTTGTACCTTCTCGGTAAATGTAAAAGAACAAATCAGGAATAGATTATTCCGACGCATCTGTTATGTCCAGTGTTAATCTCATTTAATCTCGATTCACAATTTCTATCCGTTCTTCTTTTTCCCTAGACAGATTACGTTGCGTCCGTTGGAGCAGCACAATACAAGCCTGTCCAGAGTTTTTTCATGCTATTCAATTTTCATTCGTTCCTGATAGCCGAGCGCTGTCGGTCGCACCTGTTCGACGGACGCGAACAATTGGAACCGACTCGCGGAACCAATCTCACCCACGCGGTCTTTAGCCTGATCTTTCGCGGCTTCTATCGCGTCGCGTCGGACGCGGGACTGGCACGCCAGACACACGACTGCACACCTCGTCCTATGAATAATTCGAGATTAGAGCGTAATTTATGGCTCGCCTGATCGTACGCGAACGTGGAACTGCTAACACACCCGGTGATTCACCTAACTGTGTGGACGACCTCGGTTGAATTGCTCGTAATCTGTCTAATCACTGAAATAAGTGTTTCGTTTGAGATGGAGGGCATCGGGGCGGGTTGGCGTACAATTTTCTAGGAGAACGCCATTGTCTGTTTGAAAATTGCTGAACCGATGACGGATCTGATGGCAAGGGTTTCATCAAGTTGTAACATTTTCATATTTAATGGTAATTGCCTGAATTTTCACGAATAATGTATTTGCATTGGACTATATGCAGGCTTTTATTAGTGAATATTGGAGTTTGTGATATGATAAGGTTTTGGTTTAGTGTGATCAGTAATGTGATGGTTTATGGTGAGAAATTTAACGATATATTTTCATTTAATTTTATTAACACTAGTACAACCGAGCATTTAATACGATTGATATGTAATCCCTATAAATATCATAACAATAGATTATTCCTAGTTTCTTCAGACATCCATCACAGCATTCAAGTGAAGCTATTTATTTTTAAAATCATTTCGAAGATATCAATTAATGCGAAACAAAAAAACGGAAATTTTGACTGTTACGGTAGTTCTAATGTTAATATACATGGATAAGTGATAATGGCGTTAATGATATAGCATGATTCATATAAACTATTTGTACGTGTCATTCGTTGTGTTAGAATAATTTTTACACCTATTCACGTGTTCATGATAAGTGTATAAGACAATTGGAGGGCAATCGTTGAACTTCATGGAAAGTTTCCATTCATGAGAATTACTGAAATGCGGTTGGAACAAATTGCCCGTTACTTTGATCAAGGCCAACTATGAACCCACCAAGTTTCAAAGAAATCTGAACTTTCCTCTCCGAGCTTATAGCCGAATGAACCTGACGATTGTTCGGTTTGTTCTGAATAAAAGCGTAGAACGTGTCTCTACCGAAATAACAGTCGAACGTACGATATTTCGAATGATAATAGAATATTTTCAACAGGAAAACAATAAAAAGAAATATCACTTTCTATTCCATTCGATAGATCTTTCGTCAAACAAATCAAGGGTCAACCCAATTCCCAAATTAATTGGAAACACATTAACGTCAAAGTTCGAGTTATTGAAATAATACGACTATTATTCCGTATTATTAACATCGGATTAATTATCAACATTACATTCAGTGGATTATATTATAATACCGACGCCACTGAACGTTCATTGTGAAACAAACAATAGGTTCGTTTCTAAATCACGAAAGAACATTATTTTCCTCATAAAAGGAGAATTATAGAATACAAAATTTCAGTTAACACACTGCGCACTGGCAACGAGAAATCTCGTTTTTGTATAAAGACACCATGCAATTTTGCTAATTACCATAGTACTTAGGAAAATATGAAATTTTATTGAAATTGATTATCTATTTAAAATACACTACATAACAATATTGCTATCTGAGTTTTTATATGTA